TTTTGTCTTCTTTAATTATAACTATGATATGAAGTAACCTTTTTTTTTTTAAAGACAGTTATGCCATTTTCTTTTTAATTAATTGATTGTTTTTCTTCAGTTTGACCAGAAAGAGAGAGAGAGAGAAAGGAAGAATGAGAAAGAAAGCCACCAAGTCTAGGACTTAAACCTCAGTTGACTACCATGGCCAGGTAACCACCATGCTACCTGCCGGCCCGACTGTGAAGTAACCTCTTGATTAGAGTACCTTTGAGAGCTTATATCTTAGTCTCTTTCTACTGCTATAATGTATAATATATAAAGAATAAAGGGACCAGCAGGTGGTGTGGTGGTTAAAATGCTAGACTTCCATATGGCCAACCACAGTTCGAGTCAAGTCCTGGATCTGGAGGCTTGATTTCTCTCTCTCTCTCTCTCTCTCTCTCTCTCCCCACCCTCCCTCTTTCTTGCTCTGGTCAAATTTTTAAAAATAATAATAAAATTAAATAAATGATTTTTAAAAAGAATACAAATTAATTTTTTCAGTGTTTTGGAGGCTGTCTGATGAGGCCTGCTCTCAGTTTCCAAGATGACACCTCAATTGTGACTCCTCTGGAGGTGAGGAGGGATTCTGTGTTCTTACATGGCAATAGGTAGAAGAGCAAAAAGGGACAAATTCTCTCCATTAAACCTGTTTATACATCTAATTCCACTTGTGAGGGTGGAGCCTACATTACTCAATCACCTCCCAAAGGTGACACATTTCCCATACTGCATTGGGATTAAGTTTACAATATATGAGTTTATTTATTTTTTAAATTTTGCCAGAGGTTGTGTGTACTCAGTAGGGAGAGAGGGAGAGAGAGAGAAATGGAAAGGGAGGAAGTATCCCTCATGGGGAATGGTCACACAGCAGTCTCTTCTCCAGTTCTCCGTCCTTTCAGGATCTTGGACACACAAGCACATGCACCTGACATTTCCCATGCTACTGGGTCTGAGACTTGAACCACAAAGTTGACCATGTAGGATCCAGCCACTTCAACCACCATGCCACCAGTTAGCCCCCAACATGGAGTTTTGGGAGATACACTCAGTTCATAGCAATTTGGAAGTCTTATTTTGGGGAGGAGAGGATACAACTATTCAGTTTTTCCAAAAAAGACTCTTATGCTTTCCTGCCCCAGAAATGATACAGCTTGGTGTTAGCGTCCTATAAACAGGGTAGAGGAAAGGGGCAGAAGGGCTGTGAGATTAGCATAAAGTTTTCTCCTGGTACCTCATCCCAGCCTTGTTCTCTGCCTGATAACCCCCATTCTGGAGCTTTAGTGGCTAAGCTTTTCAAGTGAATAAAATGTCTTTTCTCAGAGACCAGCAGGTGGCATGGTGGTTAAGGCACTGGATGCTCCCACATGGCCAACCACAGTTCAAGTCCTAGACCTGATGGCTTGCTTTCTCACTTTCTCTCTCTCTCTCTCTCTCTGTATCTCTCTCTGATCAAATTAAAATAAATGAATGAATAAATTAAATAAGTGATTCTTTTTTTAAAAAAATTCTTTTCTCTTAGTGAGAGGAGGTGGTAGAAGTACTTAGTCATTTGACTGTGTGGGATGATGGGGATAGTGGAGAAGGCCCAAATGGTCTCCCCATTCCTCCTCCTCCCACCTTTCACAGTAACTGCCACTTGTGAGCTGACCCTCACAGGTGTTCCATGGGCCTAGTCGGCTCCACTCTCACCTTTCGTTCTCTCTGAGCACTTGGGTGATAACTTTTATTCTGTCTCCGTACTGTTTCAGAGAAATTTACAAAATATGCTTTCATTAGCTCTCTTTTTTCTTGTGGCTTAATACATTTATTTTATTCCTCAATGATCTTTTAGAGTTGTTGAAAAGGCAGAAGAGATAAATTAATGTGTTCGGTCTGCCATTTTTAACTGATTGTGGTACATGTTTTTCCTTCTTTCCTCTCCTCTCCTCTCCTCTCCTCTCCTCTCCTCTCTTCTCTTCTCCTCTCCTCTCTTCTCCTCTTCTCCCTTTCTCCCTTATTGCCAGAGGGTACATGTGCTTACTGAAGAGAGAGAGAGAAAGTGTGGGGGAAAGGGGAGCATGGTCATGCTGCCATCCCGTCAGTATTTGGGGCATGTGTACACACACACACACACACACGCACACACACACACCACACACACACACACACGCGCGCACGCACACACACACACACACACACACACACACACTGATGTATTTTTCAAGCCACCAGGGCCAGGATTTGAACTGTGGTGGGCCATGTGGGATCCAGCATTCTATGCACAGTATTTAATCACTGTGCTATATGGCCAGCCCTGGCATGTGTTTTTCTAATCCAAGTAGTACAGATGTTGATTAAATACTGAATAGATCAATGCTATTCCTCATTTATGTTGTTATGGATAAAATAGGTTTTGGGGGTTTAAGTTGAAAACTTAACTACATCTGTGATTTTCCCCTAGAACTAGAGATATGGTTATATGTTTCTTAGTTGATTATCTGGATAAATTATAATAGAACAAAAGCATTCTATACATCTCTTCGTTTTCTAAGTCACATAGAAAATTATTACAAATATTGCGTCATTGAAATGAAAACCTGTACTAATGATAACAGAATCTTGAGGTTTAGTGAAAAAGTTTCTTCATAAAGTTAAGCTGTAAAAATTTAACTCAGAGGCAAAATTAAGTTCTTCAGCTAGTAGCCCTAAAGGTTCATTTTTTAGCAACATTTTTGAAAATAGCTTTCCTAATCAAATTAAACCCAAAGACAGTGATAGCTGTGGGAAATGGTAATAGCCACGGGAATTGTTTGTTGTTGCTTTCTGAGTTTTATCTTGAGCGCAACCAAATCTTCTGAAATATTGGACTGAATAAGCTAGACCAAGCCAAGTAGGCCAATAAAATAACCCTCGTAGTCATAAATGACTGAGAACAGCCATGCGAAGAACTTGGGTAGGGAAAGTACAGCCCAGAATATGTATAGATAGTCCACCGAGTGCTCAAGCAAACGCTGCAGCTTGGTGTTTGACTTGCAGACCACCGCACGTGTAATAGAGCCACTGCAGTTGTGCAGCTCCAATTTCCAGCCTTCGGCAAGGACATATGGGGCTCTCTTCCAGAGGATCGCCCCTGTTGTGCTAGGGCAGCCTTCCTTGAGCTCAAGCTCCCCAGTGGCTGTGACTGCCCCAGTGTCAAGGGATCTGAGATGATTAGGAAAACCAGGAATGGTGGTTGTAATCTCCTGTGTGTCTGGGACAAGGTAAGGGCAGTGAAATGCAGTCATTTCATTATTTTCCTTCCTTTTTATTTTTTCTTTCTTCTTTTCTTTTAATTACTAACCTCTCCTCTCAATCCCCCTTACTCCCAACCTTGCTTTGACAGAATATTGACTAGGAACCAGAAGCCCATTTTTGCTTAGCCTTAAGGGCAGCTGTTTACACAGTAGCAGTGTTACATAGGTTTACCGTGTCGTATGTCTGTGTAACACTGGATTTGGATCTTGTATTTAGCTGCCAGAAGTGACTGTGATGAAGTAGGAGAGATAAACTGATAGATTGGCTGCCAGAAAGATGTTGGGAATCAATCAGATAAACAGGGTAGAGAAACAGCTTGCTGTTTTCTAGTGATAATAAACCGGTGGCCTCTGGTCCCCACATTTTTAAACGTAATTGCTGTAGTAATAATGTCTAAAATAAGCAAATGAAAAAATATCTTGGGAGGTTTTTTAATTGCGATTGAGATATCTTTTTCCCTTTTGCAATAAAGATTCATCTTGTAGAAATGAAGATTTTTATACATTTGTTTTACTTCTTCCAGTGCCTACTTAACATAAACAAATGAAAATTAGAAAGCGGACTAGTTTCACAGGAATTTATTCTTTTCTTCTCCATCTTCTCACAGGCTTCAGCTGTTTAACTTGGCAAAATACCTGTATCACTACTGTGCCTTATCTACAAAATAATTTCTTATTTTTGCGAAGAAACACATTTTAAAGTCAAACCCCTGTTATTAATAGACGGTTAGCAGGAGGAACTAGTTTATTTCGGCATATTCTCTTTGATTCCTCTTAGATTTTTGGAATTTTTTTTCTGTTGCCAGTTTTCTGCATATAGCATTAGTGTAGGAGAAGTGATATCTGGTTTCATTTATTATAAATTAAAACTCTCCTCCTTTAATGTTTTTAAATCCATTGCTTCTCTTCACCTGGGATTTATTTTAAGGTCCAATGCAGATTCTTAAGTCTGTGTGAAAAGTACAGATTTAGTCTTTGATTGGATGCAGTGGAGTACTCAGGATTAAAAGAAGAGTAGGAGAGTAATTTAGAGTTCCTGTGGAGTTAATTGTGTAAGATGAGAGACTAGTCCTGTGTGTTGTATTTGCAGTATGCTTACATGACTTCCTTTGGATTCCTTCTTAAAATTTTTGTGGCTGTGAATGTGTCGATGTTGTGTATGGTTAAATCACTTAATAGCAAACATGATAGAGTAGCGTCTTTGGAAAGCAAGATGAAGTCTACACTTTGAATTATATAGGCTTTTGCCTGAGGAAGACCTTCCTGACGGCTGGAGGTTATAGTTCAGAAGTTAACCATGCACCATTATCCTATTGGTGAGAAGTGGTTGCATTTTCCCTTTTGCCATGTAGCCCTTCCCATCTGACCTTTTAAAGATTCTCCATTGATATCGATGGGGCGAACAAAACTAATCATAAAAACAATGAAGGGGATGTTGCACACTCATTGATCCATTTGAAATGAACTGCAGAACAATAAGTCTTCCAAATGGACTTGTATTCTCATCTACTGCTGTCGTCACCTTTTTAAAGATATATAAATATGAAAGGGTTAATGGGAATTCAGTCAGGCTCTTGTCACTGGGTTGTCCCTTATTGATCGTAGTTTTAGAGCTGTCACTATGCCATTCAGAATTCCTTCTGTGCCCTTTTAAAGTCAGTTGGTGCTGGGAGATGTTAAATTAGTTGCTTTTGTTTTTCCTAGCTTCTTCGAGAACTCATAGAGCGGAAGACCAGCTCCTTGGATCCCAATGATCAGGTGGCCATGGGAAGGTAATTGATATATGACTTTCTAGTCTTGTGAGCAGCCTATATAGTAGTTTCTCCCCCTGAGTCCACTTAATTCTACCTCCAAGGCAAGGATTTACCTTATAATTATCAAAGTTAAGCAAGATAATTAGAGCTAGAAAGACAAAGTGACTAATTGTTTACCCTACATTGCCTTAAGTGCAATTTGAAAAGAGATTATAAAACACCTATGTGTCTGTTTTGTTTCCAAGGTCCTCATATTCTTTGTTCGCTGGATTGTGTTGTGATTGTATCCATATCAATCTGCTGACCAGTGGATAAAAAGCAGCCACCCAAACGTGTGTTCTCAGCTGTCAGAATGTGTCACTGTGCACAACAGGTTCCTTGCTCCCAGTCGAATCTGCTTTGTTAAGTCTGCCCTAATTTAGACCTCCACCCCTTCAGTAAAAGCTACGGCACAATTAGAAATGGGACGTGGCAGCATTACCCAGATGTCAGGGTAGAATGTAAAGTAGTGAAGGAAAGCTCTTGTGTGTATGCTTCATCCTGTGGTTGGAAAATAAAAAGGGCGTTTAGAGTGCTACCTAATGAATAGAGTACATTTAAATAGCCATGAGCCATCATTTGCAAAAGCATGAAAGGAAACAAAAGCACAAGTGCCAGAGTGGGATTCTGGGCAGAGCAACGTTTTGAGAAAGCAGTGCAAAATTTGTGTTGATGAAATAATTTTATTTGAGTAAAATTACTATTTGAATTTTAGGGTAGGATGTTGATATTTCTTGCATCTCCAGAATGTTATAGAGAGCAGTTCACTATAAATTTAATGTAATAGAGCAAATTGCATTTAAGTGGTGATTATATTGTACATTTATCTGACTTTACAATAAAATAGATTATGGTAATTAAGATTATATTAAGATTACAGTAATTGGATTTCCCTAGATTTTTTTTTTCCTGATGTTGAGTTTTCATGGTATAAATCAGGTAAGATGACTAGCTGCTGTTGCTGTTTCTCCTCCTCCCCCCTTTTTAAAAACATTTGTTCATATGAGCAACTTAAGAAGTTTTTCTTAGCCCAATATCCTGTATTTGAAAAATTAATTACTTCTTATCTAGAATGACTGTAGACTATGTGAATCTTGTTTGGCTCCTGGTCCAAATAAACCAACTGTAAAATTGAGACAATCCAGGAAACTTGAAGACTGAATATTTGATAGTAAAGAATAATTGTTATCTTTCTTTTTTAGGTGTGATAATGGTGTTGAGGTTATATCTGGGGAGTAGGGAGGGAAGAGTCCTTATCTTTCAGCAGCATGTACTGAAATATTTCTAGATGAAATGAAAATGAAATAAATAAAGTGATTGTAAAACTAGTATTAGTAGTGGATAATTATTTAAAAATTAGCACAACTTGGTAGGCACAGGGAAAGCACTTGGGTATTAGTAAAGAGAAATTTAGATTTAAAGAATTCATGTATTCAAGCCAACTAGCAGTTGCAACATTAGTAATAGAGTATGCTGCACAGCTAAAACATTAAAAGAAAATGCAAGTAGCTATACTCAATTTGATGGGTTTTCCTGCAGACTGTAGATTTAGTGCTTGTCACAGCAACTCCAAATACTAAGGAGCATTGTTAACCAGATTTGCTGTAGCATTTCCTAGCTGCCATTTGTTTTTCACCATTGCACAAATCCTCCTCAATTGATTAGTCGCTTTGGCCCCAGAATATCTTGAGGAACTTGGTATAAGTAGATGATTTCTTTCTGCAGGGTTGTTAGTGAGAAAAAAAATCCAATTTGTCAATATGTATAACTATTTCTGTTAGTGGTGATGCATAACATTGCTTGTAAATTTCCCAGACAGTGGCTTGCAATCCAGAAGTTACGAAGCAAAATCCACAAGAAGGTTGATAGGAAAGCTAGCAAAGGAAGAAAACTTAGGTGAGTTACATTTTGAAAAAAAAATTTAATGCATGTTGTATGTCTTCTCTTACATTTTGGCTGTTAGGTCATCCTTCAGTTTTTTTTTTTTTTTCTGACTTTCCTGTTGTTCAGGATAAGAAAAATATCTAAAACTATGTTTGAGTATTTTTAGTGACTCAGTTTTGCTTACTCTAAAATAGAGAGAGGTCCAGCTTGGTAGTAGAGTTGAATAGCAAACTGAAATCCTGGAAGCCACTTGTCTGACAGGGGTTCATAACCCTGGATTTGAGGCTTGCTTGTATGCTCAGGATCCAGAGGTGCTAGATGGCTGATGAAAGGGGACTGGGTGTTGTGAGAGCCTGTCCAAGGTGCTGCTTTCTCCAACCCCTTCACCACCTCACCACGTGCACAGTTTCTCTCTCTCTCAGGTACCCAGTCTGTCATAAATGAAATAAAAATAATTACTTTTTTTTTTGGGGGGGGGAGGTTTTTTGTTTGTTTGTTTGGTTTTTGCTGTAGGGTGTGTGCGCTCACCAGAAAGACAGAGACAGAAAGCAAGAAATCACCCCCCAGGTGGGATGGCCACGCCGCAATCCCTTCTCCTCCACTCTCCTCTCGGGATCTTGGGCATGCACACACACGCGCCCGGCATGAGTTTAAGCCACCAGGTCCGGGACTCGAACTGCAATCAACCACATGGGATTCCAGTGACGTAGACATCTGCTGGTCCCAAATAAATACTTATTTAAAGATTTATTTTCATGAGAGGGACAAGCATCCCTAACAGGGTCTTTAAAGGCAAGATAATTTAAATTGTCTTTGGTTTTTAAAAATGGTGGGGTCAGGGCCGGCAGATAATATGGAGGTTAAAGTGACTGGATCCCACATGGCTGACTGCGCAGTTTGAATCCTGGGCCTGGTGGCTTAATGAAAACACACCAGGTGTGTGTGCCCAAAATTCCAAGAGAAGAATGGAAAAGGGATTGTGGCTTGGATATCCCCCAAGGGATGATTTCTCACTTTTCCTTTCTCTCTGTTTCTCTTTGGCAAGCACATGCACTACTGGAAAATATTTTTTTAGAGGATTATTTATTTAATTTTATTTATTATTGTTGTTGTTATTGTTCTTTAATTTGCCACACACCACATGCACTCACCAGAGAGAGGGAAAATGAGAAAGCAAGGTATCAGATCTGGGGCTTCAACTGCAGTTGGCTTTGTGGCAGTCTAGTGCCTTAACTACCATTCCATTTGCTGGCCTGCAATATTTTAAAAAAAAAAAAAAGATTTCTAGGAGCCAGCAGATGGTGTGGCACATGGCCGACTGAGGTTCGAGTCCAGTACCCAGTGGCTTCAAACTCATGCTGGGCATGTGTGCATGTATGCCCAAGAGCCCAGGAGGAGAATAGAGGAGATTCTTTTACATTTTGCTCCTGGGGGGGGCGATTTCTTCCTTACTCTGTGTCTATCTGTCTGTCTCTCTTGCGTGCGCATGTGGTCCCTAAGGCAAAAACTTCTACCAAAAAAAGGTTTCTATAGACGAATATAAGAATCTTGCTCTGGAGTCATATTTAGAATAGGGTTATATTGGTTCATTTTTATGATACCATACATGTACACAATATGCTAAAAAAGATGGAAATGATCAACTGCAGAGAATGTTCACAGTGTACTGAAATGAGAAGAGAAATAAACTTTTTATGAGAAAAAGAGACATTTCTGATTCTAGAGAAATCTTCTACTCTGTGAGTTCTTTAGAGTTTGATAAGGGGGCCAGTTGGTAGCATAGGTGGTTAAGATCTAGATCTCAATGGCTGACTGTACAGTTTTAATCCTAGACCTGGTGGTTTAAAAAGCACTCTGGGCACATGTGCATGTATGCCCGAAATCCCAGAAGGAGAAATACAGAAGGGATTGCATCCCCATGAGTGCTTTCTTACTGTCTTTCTCTCTCTCTCTCTGGGCTAGGGACATGCTCTCTAGCAAATTTAAAAAAAAATAGTCTAACAATGATCATATAAGAGAAGGGGCAAGAGTAGGAATTTTATACTTTTAGACTTAAATCTCTGGTAACTGTGTGTGTGTGTCTGTGTAAAACACAATAGGGTCTGTATGGTAATGTAGCAGCAAAATGTGTAAGGCTGGCCCACTGGGGGGCGTTCTGGGTTTGCATCTAGAGCCCTCCCTGAGTACACTGGGTGTCCCCAGGGTCTAGGGCTGACTGAAGTTTGGGTGGATCGCAGCATCAAGGGCCTATTGGCGGTGCCTACCTTTTTTGTCTTCCTCTCTTTCTGTCTCTCTTGCACATGGAAAAAATAAGTAAAACTTTAAAAAAAGAAATAACAATATCATCACACAAAGCCTCAGTGTCAAAGAAATTCAGGCACACACTGAAGGACTTCTTAAACTTGTTTCGTTCCGGTGGTTTTAAGTAGATAGCTAATCCTGGGACCTTATTAGACCCTACCTGTCATTAAATTCCCTTGATACAAATGTGGACTTATCTAATATTCACTTATTTATAAAGTTTATTTATTTCTTTCTTCCATGAGAAAGAATGAGCAAGATAGACATGCCCAACACACCTTCATGCTGAAATCCACACAAGCTTCAGCTAGTCTGATCATGGGCATGGGGGCACCAGAGTACTCAGGCTCATATCCTGCTTCTGTTTGGATTTTGATGGTTATTTACTCTCTGGGCCTTACTTTTCTCATTTACTATGTGGAAATAATAACCCCTACTAGGTCAGGAGGTGGTGTAATGATAAGGTGGTGTATTTCATATGGGCAAGTGTGTGATTAGAGTCTCGGACCTGGTGGGTCAAAAAAGACACCAGGCACATGTCCATGCATGCCCAAAATCCTGAGAAGAAAATGGAGAGGGGATTGCAGCATAGCAACACCCATCCCACCCCCCATGCCCTATAGCCAAAACTTAAAAAAAAAAAAAAAAGTCCCTACTTTATATAGATGGGAATTAGAGGAAGTAATTTTTGAATGTCTGGTACATAGTGGATATCCAAAAATCATAGGGTTTTGGTTTCTCTCTTTTTAAAATTTTTCTTCAGGTTTTTGCTATAGGGCATGTGTACTCACTGGGAAGAGACAGAGAAAGGTAAAGTGAGAAATCATCCCCAAAGGGGATGGCCATGCTGCAGTCTACTCTCCTCTATTCTCCTTCTGAGATTTTGGCCACAAACACACATGTGCCTCGTGTGATTCCCAAGCTGTGAATTTTGGGACCCAAACTATCGCGGCCATGTAGGAATTTCTTTAAACTCCAGCGCCTTAACCACCTTGCCACCTGTTGGTCCCTCTTTGGTTTCTTTTATGTTCATTAGCATTGCTGTTGCAGATAAATACTTTTCAAAAATATTAAGAGAGGGGGAAAAATGCCATTACTGCATTGCACCATTTTTATGAATCTTAAAAGTATCAAAGCAAGTGCATATATTATGTGCCCTTTTGAGGTCAAGAATTATGTTTCTTTATCCTTTAAGACAATTCTAAACTTATTATCTAGTGTAATGTCTTGTAGATATTAGTCAGTTAGAAAATGTTTTTGGATGATTGATAGTAAAATTAAAATGCTCATCAGGTAATTATAAATGGCCGTAACTGTAAATATAACACAGATTAAGAGACCGGGATGAATGTTGGAGAAATAAGCACTGTTCTAGTGTGGCAAATGACTTAGGAGGAGGACATGAATTCCTCCTCTCCCCTAAATCAAAAGAAATTGACCAGAAGTGTTATTTATCAGGTAGGGGAAAAAACAAGATTTTGTTTTAATGTAACTGCTTCTGTTATAATATGATTTGTTAAACTGATTTTATTAGGGGCTAGCAGGTGGCACAGTAGTTAGGGCACTGGACTACCCCATGGCTAACCACGTTCGAGTCCTGGGCCTGGCAGCTTAAAAATATCCCAGGTACGTGTATATGTACCCAAAATCCCAGGAGGAGAATGGAGAAGAAGGGATTATGGTGTGACCATCCCTCCAGGGGGGTGATTTCCTCCACTGTCTCTCTTTTCCCCCACTGTCTTCCTGTTCCTCTCTGGGAGTGCACATGTCCTTTTAAAAAGCAAAATAAATAACTTCATTAAACTATTAAAATAATAAAAAAAACCCTTAAAACATAAATAAAAAATATTGAACTTTAAAAAAATAAATTCCTAAATTAGAAATACAGCAGAAAAAAAAACTTCATTAAAGTATGCATTAGAGTTATGTGTCAATGCAATTATATACCTTTTCTCTTATAACATTTTGATAGTGATTGAGATCCACACATCCTCATATATCCAGAGGCATTAAAATCTTATTCTAGCCACAGAGAGGCTAGAGACGGACATTCCATTTCAACAGGGCTAAACATTACAATACAGGAAGTTAGGGCTAGCTCTGTGGTGCTGTAGTGGTGCACTGCTCCAGCAAAGCTGCCTCCATTTGGAAGACTGTGGGGTTGGTTCCTTGCTTGGCCTGTACACTTTGGGCACATTCCCCTATGACCCTGGTCAGCTGGGAAGGACTGGGGAAGAGGATCACAGCATGGAAGCCTTCTGAGGATGCTTGTCTTTCTCTCTCTCTCTCAAGAAGAACATAGATATAAAAAATGAATATAGTAGTTTTAGTACCTTTCATGTTCTAAGAACCATATTAGGTACTGGGAATCCCCCAGGCTGCCCTGGAGGAGCCTAGGTTGGGGAAGATGGCAGGCAGAAGTGGACAGTGAGCATATGTGGTTGGTGCTACAGTGGAGACAGCCTGCCCCACCCCAAGGGAATGCACTATGCTCAGGAAGGCTTTCTATAGCAACATCTGCACTTTGAAATCCAGTAAGAGCCCAGTGAAAGGCAAAAAGAGTATTGTGTACAAAACTGTATTTGCAAACTAAAGAGAGTGTAGGGCTTATTTGGAGAACTACAATTAATTTGAGCAGAGACTTTGGGTGGAAATAGGGAAATGGCAGAGATGCAGCTGAATGCAGTTGGCCCTGCTAACACTTTCTTCTG